TTTAGAAAAAATGGAAAATCCCAAAATAAAATTCACTTTAACAAGTAAAATAATATCAGTCGACAGATAAATACCCCCAGCCTTAAGTTATGATTATTCAAACTGTCGACCCTTCATTGGGGAGGTTCCGAAGAAGTTGGCCAATATTAAGCAATTCGTATCTGACCTAAGACTGATATAAATATTACAACGTGCCAGATTTGGACTATATCGACTACTTTCTATACTTTATATGAGATTTTTGGAAAATGTGGAATGTAAAATGAGATATAGCCGACCGAAGTTTTCAATTTTCTTACTTCATATAATACAGATAAAAATATTGGTATGTGCAAAATTTGAAGGAAATCGAACATTTACAGGGTCACACGCTGCCCGAATGTTGTTCTGCGGTATTTTAGCCCATTCCCAGCGATGCGCTTGCTTGAGATGATCGACACTTTGGTATTTATTTAAGTGCCAACCTTGCTTTCCAAACTACTACAGACACAATAGTCCAACGGATTGGAATCCGGAAATTTTAGCGGCCATTGTGCGCTGGAAAGGAAGCTAGGAACCTCATTTTGTAACCATTCTTGGGTGGCGCGTGCTGAGTGCGATGATGCTGAATCCTGTTGGAATGTCCAAGGTCTGCGTCCAGAATATTTTCGCGATAGTATTCGGAATTTATTCTGATGCCACTGTCGACGATCGACGCTGGAGTTCTGGTGACCAACCGAAGGTGCACATTTTCAGCGGCCCTCTTTGGCAAGTAAACACGATCATTTAGTTTGTTTACAAACTGCTGGACAACGAATGTTTTCTCATCGGAGAAAACCAAATTCGGCAGTTTACCACTTTCGGCCGAGCGAAGCAACTCTTTAGCTCTTTTGAGTCTATTTCCTTTCTGTCGCGGTGTAAATTCTTGCACTTTTTGGACTTTCAATGGCTTTAATCCAAGCTCATTTTCCAATATTTGCCGAATGGAATATGTGTGTCACTGCGACGCGGGTTTCGATCAAGTCGCTTCTTTACTTTTCGAACTATTTCTGCTGATATTGCTGTTTTTTTTTCGTTCTCACAACAATGCTTTCGTATGCTTGTAATTTTAACAACTGTCGGACGAGTGGCTTTGAAATGACAGAAGTCTAAAGTTGGTTGCATTTTTTTCATCTCACCCTGTATATGCAAAGTTGTGGCCTGAGCATTCCTGAGTCCCGCTACTGTGGTTATCTGTTTTGTGTTTCGCTATTACAGGCTCCTATCAACCCATCATAAGGAATCTTGGTGATTTGAGAGTTCTCTATTTCGCCGACGGCATATCTGTCATTTGGCATAACCATGCGCACTGTATAAGAGTCCTTCAATTTTGGTAAGAACTTTTTATTCGTGTCCATGTATTTAATTACCAACCAAGTCGTCTACCTTAAATGAGTTCATTCTATAGCACTTTTCTTCAGATCGTTATATTTCTACACCCTAGCAATGACAGGCTATATTTTTTCTCGGAATTCATAATTTTTAAATGAACAATTATTATTTTGTAGAAATGGTGAGCGACACAAATGCTCTCTTCCAGAACCTGGAAGAATCTACTAGTTTGCAATACTTATTCGATCCCATAAAGGAAGAGGGCTATCGGTTATCGTAGTAAAATCTTTTACATTTTTGCAGTTCTGTAACAGACCATTTATATTCTTGCTGATCTGGAACAGACAAAAAATATATTACCCCGATAATCCAAAAGCCCAGTAAACGAAAGATGAGTAAAGGGAGCCATTTGTGACTGTTGAAAATCTATCGTACAAAATTTATCGGATAGCCATATTAATTTTCATAAGTGCTGATACATCTACTCGTATTCTTCTACCATGGATTTTAAAGCGCCTATTCAAAACAAAACATTACCGTTAAATCCCAACAGCTGTTAGTTCCACTTTGCCATTTGACATTACCGGCTGTCACATTCTATGAATGCCTCAAAATTGCACACAGATGTCTGAGTAAGTGTGTGTGTTGTGTTTGTGTGCCAAGTTAAAATTTGTTGGGTTGACGCGCATTGTTGTTGCAAACGTAGCAGCGATAGGAGGAGCTCATCTCATCTCTGGAGAAGAAATCTATTCGAAATCATCTTCATCATGAATTCCATGATATGGGTTATAGTGGCCCTTAAACTATTTGTGGTCTGTTGGCTAATATATATCCTACTTGAACGACGCAAAAGAAAGAGAGAAAATCAAAATGTCATTGTCATCGAAGAAGGTAATTTTGTAGAAAAAACGGTAGCACTTTAACCAATAACTGTTTCCTTGTTTGTATACTTGACATATGTTCCATATTTTAAAGGGGCCGTGACAACGTTTGCAGGTGCTCCAGTAACCCAAATGCCAAAGGATTGTCAAGAATACTACAGCCAACAATTATATGCCTCACAGCAGACTGTGATGCCACCACCCAAGTAAGTACCTACATACCTATACTATCCTCAACAACGAGCGAAATGCAGTGCACTCACTAATCGCCACATGCAGGTGTATGTAATGCATTGCGTTGTTGTGCTGTTAATGAATAATTGTTTATAATTTTTACCCCATTTTACTGTTAATTACGTTATAGTGTACAACAACAGCAACAAGCGTTCTATTCGCACCAACAGCCTCCTCCCATGGAACTGATTTCTCCGAAATAATTACTTTACCTTCCTATTTTGAAATCAAAAAGAAAAAATATTGACTGCTCAATACTGACGCACACGTTGTCTCGAATGATATTCGTTTTGAATAACCACAAAAAAGATTGATTTATAAATTTCATATTTGTAATATAATTACAAGATTAAAAAAAAAACACAATGTATTAGAACTGACAGTATTTGTTACAAAAATAAATAAATTTTAAATGTTAGTAAATCCAGTTTTTAGTCATTTTACTGATAAAAGATTAGAGCCACCGAAGTTATCGGGCTAGTTATGCTAATTACCTTTATGATTTTTCATAATGAAATTTAAAAATATAAGAAAATAAATAGCTTAATTTTCAATTGTGAAATTTCAAAAAAGAACATGCACCACGGCCGTTATCATCGATAATTTTATTTATTTGTTTGATAGACGATAATCAGTTAAGGTGGCCTGGCAAAACATCAATTTCATGTATAAACATGGTAGAAGAATACAGGTAGACGCATCGACACAGCTGCTGGGACAATGGACTGTCAAACCGATATTGGAATTGAAAATGTTGAATGAAAAATTATTGAAATTTGTAAAAATTGTTGAAAAAATCATATTATAACAACCACAGATTTGCTTCGTATAAGAAAATATTTAAAAATACACTTACGTTTGATAAATCATTTTAAAAATTTTGATATATAAATATTCCCAAGCGTTGATTAATCCACCTATATTCTTCTACCATGTGTATTAATTTAGGTTATACCATGTTCTCATTGAAAATATAAAGGTTATTGAAATATTCGATTATAAGAACGTTTATCGTAAATTGTTAATGTATCGATAAAATGGGGTGCTGTACGAAGCGAAACTATACAGGGTGAGATGCAAAAACTGCAACCAACTACAGAATGCGGTCATTTCCAAGCCACTCGTCCGACAGCTGTTGAAATTATTCCAGAGACAGCTCATTACATTACTTACAAGCGTACAAAAGCATTTTGGTACGAATTTTTCTAGAAAAAAAGATATTCGTGATGGAATTCAATATTGATAGTGTGATTTCTTCAAATTTGGCAGGAAAACCACAAGTAGCTATCGTTAGAGCACTCCAGCATTTAAATGTGAATAAATCTTTTGTGTCTCGTACCGCTCGCTCGTTACCGTGATACTGGTAGCGCAGCCCGACGTCAAGGAAGTGGACAGTAGAAAACAGCAACATCAGCAGAAATGGTTCGAAAAGTAAAGAAGCAACTTGATCGAAACCCGAGTCGCAGTGGCCGAAAAATGGCTCATTGCCTGAACATATAGCAATAATTCATTCGGCAAATATTAAAAAATGAGCTCGGGGTAAAGCCATTAAAATTCCAAAAAGCTCAAGAACTTACACCGCAAAAATAGAATCAAAAGAGCTTAAGAATTGCTTCGCTTGACCAAAAGTGATGAACTGCCGAATTTGGTTTTCTCCGATGAGAAAACATTTGTTGTCCAGCAGTTTGAAACAAACAAAATGATCGTGTTTTCTTGCCAAAGTGGTCAGCTGAAAATGTGCACCTTTGATTTGCCACCAAAACACAAGCGTGTGGGCAGCCATAACAGACAATGGTCGCTCTCCGCTCGTATTAATCGACCGTGACATCAGAATCGCGAAAATATTCTGGAAAGTGTATTAAAACCTTGGCCACGCAAACAGTTTTGCCGCAGACCTTGGACATTCTAACAGGACTCAGCACGCGCAACCCAAGAATGCTTACAAAATGAGGTTCCTCGCTTCATTTCCAGCATACAATGGCCACCAAAATCTCCGGATACCAATCCGTTGGACTATTGTGTATGGAGTATTTTGGAAAGCAAGGTTGGCACTAAAAAATACAAAAGCTTCAATCTCCTCAAGCAAGCGCTTCGCCGGGAATGAGCCAAAATACCGCAGAGCAACATTCGGGCAGCGTGTGACGGTTTCATTGTCCGTTTGAAGGCCTTAATTCGTGCCAAAGGTGACCAATTCGAACAAATCTAAATTTATTCTAAAATTTGATTCTATGTCTTGCTTTCATTCAATGAAATTTAAAAAAAAATGTAAAAATTATGGCATTTGACTTTGTTGCTGCTTTTTATCTCACCCTGTATATTAGACGTTGGTGGAGTTTTCGAGACGAGCTTCCCTACAAAATCGAAAAAAAAATTGTAAAGCTAGTAGATTCTTTTAGGTTCTGGAACAGACCACACATGACAATTCTTTGTACCTTCATCAGTGTTGATGCGCTTACCCGTTTTATTGTGCCGTAAAATCGATTTAACATATTTATCGATAAATAAGAGCATTGGAGTTCTTTGATAGCTATCAAAAGGGGAATCACATTAGTGTTGCATTTGTCATCAAACGAATACGCTGAAGATCATTGAGAGTTTGCTGAATTGTTCAGGAATACTTTGAAAAAAAAAACTGTTCCAACAATGTCCTTGTTGACTTCAAAATGTGCTATTTGTGAGCAACCTTTTAATAGTTCCAAAAATATCTACTCCACCCGATGTGGCCACGTCTTTCATTATCCCTGTATAAAAGAATGGGAGGCGCAGTAAGTACTCTGCTTGATGTATTCACATACAAATTTCTTATCTTTGCCTCTTTATCGCATAGAAACGCTGACTGTCCCCAGTGCAAAGCATATAAACCCTTTGGCCATATTCTCGATTTAAGTTTCGACGACAATGTAGATGTTGAGAAATTAAAAGAAACCCTTCACGAAACATCACGCGAATTGAAGAAATACCAAAACCTACATAACGAAACGAGTCTTGCTTTGGCCAAAAGTCGTGCGGCAACGGAAAAGGAAATCTACCAACTCAAGGGTTTGGTAACAAAACTAAGGCATGATATTGTTTGTCATGAAATGGCACAGAAAAAGAATCGCCAGAAGATATGTGCCCTAACTGAGGAAATCTGTACCATAGAGGCGTCTTCCGAGCAGACTGTTACCCATTTAAAGGCAGAAAGCGATACGCTCAGGGATAAATTAGAAAAATATTCGACCGAGTTGGCGATGGAATTGTCTAAAAATGAGACAACCATGGAAACCAACAAAGGAGCCAAACCAAAGAACAGACCAATGATTAGAATCGACTTGACCAATGATAAAATCAATGATTTGGAATTTAGATTGCAACAGACCACCGATCAACTGGAAAAAGAAATTTCCCGAAATAGTCAACTTGAAATTGAAAACATGAAATTAAAGAAACTAGTTACACTGCTGGGTATTGAATGATACACAAGGAACAATTTATGTTATTTTCTTAATTCTAATGGATTTTTATATTCTTATAATTGCTATATAATATTTAATTGCTGGTTATTTTCATTCGGGAAAAGTTTTAGTTTTATAAATGCCTATATTCAAAAAATTCAAACAAGATGGTCTGCTAGTGATTTATCGCTCATACTTAGCGTGTTATTATAAAACTAGCAAGGAAAAGAGAAAAGTTGGGCGGTGTCGACTCTAAGATACCTTACTCAGCGAAGCTGTCCGCACTTTTATACTGGGAATATGTGTTAAGTAAATCAGAAACTTTGATGGTGGTTTACCCCTTTGTAGCAGTTTAAATTTGAATTCGTATGCAACTAATTTATTATGGGATCTACGTCAACGTCCACGACTTAAAATTCACCGTGTCGTCTTTATCCACTTTAATCTTCTGGATAATTGAAGAATACCTGTAGCAATACTCTTTTAGAGAATGAAGGCGGATCATGTGCTTTCTTCTTCCACGAGCCTGTGTCTCATATTGAGGAGATGTGGATAGTGGGCAGAGCAAATGTTCGATTGTCTCAATTTCTTCCTCATCCTGGCATATCCTACAGTAATCATTTATCATTTGTAATCACAATTTAGAAGTCATGACTCAAATGCTATAGTGACCTGTGATGATACCCGCCACATCGACATATACCGACACGGGATCGTTAACTACACTGTTCCGTTTTACCAATAGCTCTATGGCTTCTTTGATCGCATATTTAATCTTTGAACCGTCAGTACAAACAGAAATTCAAAATGCTTATTGCAACTTATGCATCCACAAAGTCTACAGTTTTTGTCGCGAAATGAACTATAAGAGATATATAGAACATGATTTTGAAAAGAAATTTTGATCTTTCATTCAGTTTTCGCGGTTTTAAATTATTTATTCAAAATCAATGCAACAAGTTTTTTGTTTTTTTTATTGTTTTGATAGTGATTCTGACATTACAAGCCAAACAGGTAGACCTCTATACTTGCAATATTTCAAAGTTAGCCTACCTTGTATTCATTGTACCATGCATGGAGCTATCTGCATTTTGTTTGTGTGTTTTATATCCTGTTCTAAAGTATGGTACAGGGTATAAATGAATGATTCGACTTTTAGTTTAATATCTTTATTGAGATTATAGAAAATTTGTCACAATATTACCTACAAAATCATGTATAGAGAATCACCTTTTTTGAAGTATGCTGTCAGATTTTAAAGGTTTTCATTAAAATAAACTCTTTGGCAAAACAAAAGAAAGTTCGATGAAAATCTAAAAATTTCTAACGAATTGTTTTATCAATTTCGGTTACATTGTAACTATCGATCTGTTTTGGATGAGAAAAATTAGTACCTCGAGAGACGCAGTGGTCAATTAAAGAAAATGCCACATTTATGAGCAAAACTTATACACGAAGCATTAACGATTATAGTTTTGGTGATTTTTTCGAGAAACGTTAATTCCTGGTGTATATTTATGATTGGATGCATAATGCATAGACAAATTGTTTTCATACGACAACAAAGTTGAAATATAACGTGCCTCAACATGGGATTATGGGTTAATAGTATATATGTGGAATATAATTTTCTCTGATAATTAAAAAAATGTATAAAATATGTTTTCTAAATGCGGGTCAAAAACGATTTTAATTCTCGTTAAGCTCCAAAATTATTTTGAACTTAACTTCGAGCTTAAATAATTGCGATAAATAATAGAATAATAGAAAATCTAAATCTTCATGGTCTGACTCTGTCATAACATTGCATTTTGTTAGATTTAATTATATGGGTTCTACAACATAATCGCTAGAAGGCTTTTTCATTTCTTCTATCTGTGCTAACATTTTTTTCAATAGTTCAAGGGTGTTGTCTCGATTTGAGGGCTCTGAGGCCAGATTTGAAACAACTTCTCCTACATTGCCCTTGGCGTCCATGCATTTTAATATTTCTAATAATATAGGATCAAAAGGTATTCCAGCAGGTGGTGGTGGGAGTGGAGTTGAAGAGGTTGGGACATGATTTTTTGCATTTTCTTCAGAAGCGGCTTCAACTTCAAGGGTAGAGTCGGGATTAGATTTGTCCTTTGTAGCTGAAAAATCCTCGCTTTTGGGCAATGCTAGAGCTGATTGCTCATTGACTTTGCTTGAAGCTATTGGCGAGCCCATTGCTTTAGAAGCCGAGCTTTGGTCAATTATAGATTTTGCTTGATTTAAAGCTGTTTTAAAAAAGTCATCATTTTTCTTAGCATCCGATGCCGAGGAATGAGTAGTTACAGACTTTGTTTGGTTTACATTAGTTTGAGCAACTCCATCATTTGTTGTAGAATCCGATGCCGTGGCTTGAGGAATTGCAGATTTTGCTTGGTTTACATTTGTTTGCCCAACCCCATCATTTGTTTTAGCAGAAACAGCTGAGACTTGAGGAGTTGTAGATTTTGACTGATTTGAAGTTGCTTGCGAAATTCCAACATTTAATTTGGCAGCTGAAGCTGAGACTTGGTTAGATGGTGTTTTGTGCTGTTTGGGAATGGCCCCGGTGTTCTTATTGGAATTTGATAACATTGCAATTTGATGGTTGGTCACCGAACTTTGAGTATGGTTGCTGGGAATGGTATTGCTTTGAACATAGCCTGCCTGCGCTGGTTTCGGAATCACATTGGCAGTCGTATTAGGAAATGCACTTGCTTTGTTGTTGTTTTGATTGAAGTTACCAGTATTTTGGGAATTGGTTCTAAACGGATTACGGTAACCACTTTGATTTACATTCGATTGGTCTTTACCCTCATTCGCATTACTTGGTTGCGCATTGTTTACTGTTGCGTTAGCATTTCTTGCATTTTGTCCAGACCGGTTTCCATTGTATCTTCTCCCCCTGTTACTGTGATATCTTTTGACATTTTTAATATCAGTTCGTGTGCTTTGCACACTAGGAGTAGGTGAGGATGTCGTATTGTTTTGTACACAAGGCAATGGTTTACCGCCATTAATCGGATGGGGTTTGAAGTGATGTTGTGGCTTATAATAATCCCTAATGTCCACCATATCTCTTGCGCACTCATTCAAGAACTTAAAGAATGTTTTTAATGTTTGCTTCTCTTCTCTGGGACTTTGGGACAACCATCTGTGGCAAATTTCGGCATCCAATTTGCTCATAAGTATGTAGATAAGCCACTGATCACGCTCATTTTGTTTTATTGCATCCAGAGCATCTATTATAGCGCTAGCATCGGTAGCTACCCTACGTAAATCACTTTCAATTCCATACTTCATTTTCGGTATGTTCATAAACTGCTCAATGTGAGCATGGACCACGTAGAGTGGTCGATCAAACTGTTCCTTGAGGCGTTTCCAGGCCGTTTCATAGCTATCATTTGACGATGGCACACATTGAATTAAATTGGCAGCCGCTCCGCGCAGTAATGATTTTAAGTAATTCATTTTTTCTCTGCCTTGCCAATGGGGTTTGGTCTCAAGGGCAGTTGTAAAGAGTTTTTCAAATAGAGGCCAGTCCTTATAGGCTCCGGAAAATGGTTCAATTGCTACTTTTGGGAAATCATCTTCAGGCTTTTTTACGGTTTTCTGAGATGAGTTACGTGGCGATGATGATGACGACTCCATCATATTCAAGCGATCCATTAATTGTTTGATTAAATCGGTTTGCTGCTGATCTACGGCCTTATTCGTTTCTTGTGGTTTCGGCAACAAAGACTTGAGCAACAGTTTTGTTTCCATATATAAATCTTCATATTCGTAAAATTCCTCACTGGGATCCACATAATTTTCGACATGTTGGAATTTGTACAGATTTTCGGTTATTTGAGACAACTCACGCCAAATATCTTCCAAGCGATTTAGGCGAGTTTCGATGTGATCAGTTGTGTGGTTACTGGAAGGATCTTTGGCAAACTGCATAATTCGCATCATAGATCCCTTTAAAAGATTTCGTCGGGATTCCAGAGTCTTCATGTCAGTGGCCATCTGGCCTACATTTGATGAGTCCATATTCACAATTCTAAAACAAGAGACTGAAAAAAGTTAACAATAAATTAATTAAAAAAGATGAAAGTGTTCCAACTGTTTGGACAATTTGAGAGATTAGCTTATCTTACATTTGAGTATAACTTGTTGAATGTTTTTTTGCGCTTGTCCTCCTCAAGCCGGTTGGCTGTGTAAGAGGAAGAAACAGAAAAAAGGGAGAAAATCAATCGCTTAGAACATGACTCATTTAGACAATGTGAATTTAACTTATTGATATATGAACCTCTTTGAAAACACCTGTGCAACAACAATTAGATGTTGAATAGAATACGCGACTTTTGAAATGTACTTTTATTTCGGGGAAGGAATTATTTGCAATGGATTTTAATGAATGCAACTGCCCTCTCCAATTAGCCATATGAAATCGATTATTGTTATCGAAAACAGTTAAGTGGCCCGGCAACACATGAAGTTTATGTAAATAATGATCAGTGGATTTAGACTGCCGGTGTTGGTTTTCAAGACAAAAAATTTATATTTATGATCGGTCTGTTTCAGAACTGCAAGAATGTTCAAGTTTTTACTATGATAACCGGTTTTCCCTTTTTAAAATAGAAAAAAATTACAAAAATTGCAGAGTTAATAACACCACTTGTAACTAACAAGAGTGTAGTATATATGTTCACATTTCGTTCAGCCAAAAATTGGCAACACCGTGTGTATTTTCTTGTATAAATGCCAGGATATCATGGTAGAAGAATATAGGTAGACGCATCGACACAGCTGCTGGGACAATGAACTGTCAAACCAATTTTGAACTTGAAAGTGTTGAATGAAAAATTATTTAGATTTGTAAAAACTCGAATTATAATAACCACCGAATGACATCGTATAAGAAAACATTTAAAAATCTACTCATATTTGAAAAAACGTTTAACATTTTTTGACATATCAAAGCTCCCAAGCATTGGTGGATCTACCTGTATTCTTCTGCCATGTCAGGATATTATCACTTATGGCACGTTTATGCTACTGAGGTTAACCCAATGGTTTCATTAGATCTAGTTGTTTATTCCATGGTAGAATCAAGAAGGTAAAGTCATTTCAAATAAGCATTCTTATCTTTGCAGTTTCTGTAGCTGAGCTTGTCAAATACCATGGTACAATAAGGAGGTAGAACAGCTTCGCAAAATTACAGAAATACCCCCCTGAAGAGATGCCCGCTTCCTGTCAAATTTGCATGTCACAAGTTCTTTTTATAAAAATGAGTTAAATAGCGCAAAAATGAATTAAATGTCTTGATTTTCTTTCAAAAATATGATCTAAACAGGCAAAAATGGGGAATATCTTATGCGCGTCCAGCAATGTACGTTTTGAAAATATTTTGTTTTTATTTTTCAAAACAATAAATACATACAAAAAATTGGCAGAAGACGGACACACTTAGAAAAAAAATGTAATCAGCTGGTAGCTCTACCTTACCTTTTTATTGTAACATGGTCAAATACAAACGTTCATATGTCACAACAAAAACAAGACATGCTTATTTACATTTATAAGCCATTCAAATAATCAATCAATTTTGTGAAATTAAAGGTTTGTGGCAATTATTCAGAATGATTCGCCCAAAATGTGTATTATAAATTGAAAATTTTTACAGAAGGTCGGCCTATGATTAAAACAACATATTTTTTCAGGTGAAAAAATATGTCCTGTATAGGACATACCGCCGCGGGAAATAACTCAAGGATAGAAGGACATCAACCTATACGATTATTATATTATGGAATTATTGGACAAATTCCAGAGGAGAAAATTTCAAGTCTCATTCGAAGGCCGGCCACTTAAAGAGTATCAAATTATAGAAAACAATAGCACATATTGTGTGCAGAGATCGAAATAAAATATATATATAAGTTAAGGTTTTGCAAGTTCTGGAACAGACCACATATATCATATGCCTTGTTCCAGAACCTACAAGAATCTACCAGTTTTGCAATGCACGACAAGAGTAGAATCAATTTTGAATCAATTTTTCTCCCGCTCAAAAACAAGGAAGATACCCAGCAGTCCGCTGGCCATTACAATTTAATACCCATCCAAATGTATGCTATATTGTCAATAGGAAAAAATGAAATAACAGTGGTTAATAGCATACAACTAGCATCCGAATCGGATGAGTCGTATTGCTATTACATTGTGAAACAAAATCCATGTTAGAATTAAAGAACAAAACAAAATACAATAAAAAGAGTCCATCGCACTTGCATCTGAATCGGATGCCTTTGTATTGTTTTGTAACTTTTTTTGTTTATTGTTGCAGCTGCTGTTGTACCGTTATTCATTTTTGATGCTTCTTTCTTTTTTGAAGCAAAATTTTATTCTGTGAAGTGTTTTTGAAAGTGCAAGTTGTGAATATTGAACAAAAGTTAATAAAATAAATTAATAAAATAAGAATATAGTAAGTGTTGTGTGTTAAATAAGTTAAATGAAATGTCAGGATTCAGTAGGAGTAATTTAAGACGATTAAAGAAAGTGGAAACAGACAATTTAAAAAGAAATGCACAGTTGAGGACGGACTGTTTGGAAAACAATGACATTGTACTAAATTAGCAGATTCCATGTATTCCAAAATTGTAGAAGATTTTGGAAAATATGTAAGAATATTAAAAACTCTCCGTTATAATCCATTAATAATTTAATTTCTTTCAGGTTAGTAAAATAAAAATTATAATTTCGCCAGATGGCCTTATTAAAAACTTCTGCAAGATTAATGACATTTCTATAATATTATCTTACAGCTATGATGGTAAGTTAAATTTTTTCTTACATATTTATTGAAAAGTGATATTATATTACCTTAAAATGTAGTCCATTAGTCTATTCTTAGTATAACTGTTTAATATTAAAAAATTGTTCTATATTTTCTATCCTTATTTCAGAAGCTGTCATATGTGAAAGATTCAATGAACAGGATTACGCCAAAAAAAATTAGAAATTGTTTCAAATTCCCTAAGGCCAGACACTTCCGAACAATGTTCTACAATAAAAAACTGGAAAAATTTAATTCTTTTCCTTTAGTTTAAGCTTTATTTCTTCCCACGTCTTTTGAATAAGTTTTATGAATTTCGTTTTTATGCATTATTTCTAATTATATTTTATTGTTGAAAACATTGTTAATAATACGAATTTTTTAATAAAAAACAGCTGAAATTTAAGTTCCACAATCTAAAATGTTGATGGAATCGGACCCATCCAACCTTCGCTTACAATGTTGATAGATTTCGGACCCATCCAACATTCGCTTACATTGTCGATAGATTTCGGACTCGTCTGACGGCCTAGGCCATCGCTGTGTAAATGTAAGTAGAAATTGTATACAGGCTTTGGATGGGTCGCACCTACATTGTCATTGGTCTCAGATGGAAATGTATGTGCTAAAAAATCCGCTGGGTATGCACACTCCTATTTGAGCGACATCTAAAAATTGAGTTTGCTTTATTTTTTTGCTCCCAAGAGCACTCTCACTCGAGCGAATTATTTTCGATATCAGAAAGGAAAAATAGGTTATCATTGTAAAAACTTTTATATTCTTGCAGTTCTGGATCAGACCAAAATATAGAAACACAACAAAAGGGATAAACAACTAAAACAATGCACGACAAGAGTAGAATCAATTATGAATCAATTTTTCTCCTGCTCAAAAATGAGGAAAATATGCTCACTCCTATTTGAGCGACATCTAAAAATTGAGTTTGTTTCATTTTTTTGCTCCCAAGAGCACTCTCGCTCGAGCGAATTATTCGGATGCTTGCCGATATGGTAGCTCTGTAAGCCCCACGCTTTCTAAACTGGTGGACTTTAAAAAATATTCTTAAAAAATTTACTATTTGTGATGATTCTTTCAAAAAGTATCCCCGTTTTTTGGTTCGGGGATTCTCGAAAAAATATTTTTTAAAAAATATAATCGGTTTTGGCCCGTTGTTGACCGAAAAATCTTTTAAAAAATCCACTCTATTTGTTTTCATGGTCATGGAACTACATGTATTTTGTTAATCTGATAGCTGTTGAAAAGGCCATTCTAAGAATCCTTGCTTTTTGGTCTTACGGCCCTGGGGCGTAGTTTTCGAAGTCACGGCAATGTGAGAATGTAAAACTATTTTCGAGCTAGAAAGATTTTCACTCATTCAATATCGAAATATGTTTTGATTAATATGCCAAATTCTGAATGTCGAATGTTAACGAGTTTAACACAGGTCATTTATTTTTGAAAAATAATGAAACGTTTCGGTTTTTGTTTTTTTGTTGTTTTATTATTAAAACTACAATTAATTATGCACAAATATATTTATTACATACATACAAACTATGTACGCAGAATAGTTGTTGTTTTTAATTTTTTTTTTTGTATAAGTATATATATTATAAATGTATATATAAATTGTAGGCTCACAAGAAATCATTTAAGGACGATATAAACATAATATTTATTTAGTGAGATTATAAATAAATTAATTTAAAAGAATTGCAAACAAAACAATACCACTTAACATCGGTTTTTTATCTTTACCGGCTAGCGTAGAAAATTTCCAATTGAAGAAAAGGAAAAAAAGAAATTGAATAATATATATAATATATAAAACTAAACCCAAACTTAAAATGATAGACAAGAATGTAAAAATATTTATTAATCGTTTAGTTAAGTTGTAAAAAAGCCTTTTACTTTTATCAATTGATTTATTTAATTTTGTTGTTTGTTTTTTTATAAATACATATTTATTTTTATTATTTTTGTTTTCTGTTTCCATTACAAATATTTGGTTTTTGTTTTTTTAATTTTTAATGTAATAATTAATTGTGTTGTTTGGTTTACGGTTCTTAGATGGTAATCATTTTAACTTGTTTTTTGTTTTTACTTGATAAGCAATAAATTTTGTGAATTAATTTGAATTTGCAAGTTGCCTTTTATTTGGGAGAAGGAAGAAGTTATCTTATTTGTTTGATTTAGCATGGTTTTAGTTTTCATTCAATTCATTTGTTCGGCTAAAGTAAAAAAAGGAAAAAAAATCGATTGAATTAATTATATGTATATCCCATTAGCTTTTACTTTTTATATTTTTCTCTTTATTTTCTTGAAATTCATCTTTTCCATTTTTCTGTTTTTTTTATGTGTAAAAAATAATTACGAGTGTTCTATATTTAGTGTTAGTTTGTTTTATGTCTGTCTTGTTAAAAAGTTTATAAGATTATACGGGAGGATAGGAGGGGGGACAATTGAGAAACTTTTAACAACATCCGCTACTAGCTGACCCAGCTTGATTGCCAGAACCAGGCAGTGAAGGATTTGTGGGGGAATGTTGTTGCCCGATTTTAATGCCATTGGCCTGAAATAGAAACAAAAGAAGTTGAGTTAAAATAATAAATAAAAAAATT